TAAACTTGCATAGATTGTGTCAAATTCATGACACATAGACAGTCTTTCTGTGTTTTCTGTTTTTAGAAATATTTGATTAACCCTTCAATTACTCTTTTCACCTGTTAACTTTTTTGGGGGGGCCTTATTCAGCATTATTAGCCTTGTTTTTGCATAGGACAGAAGAGACAGATAGGAAAGTGGGGGAAAGAGGAGGATTGGGTTCAGGAAATGACTCAGATGAGTCCCCGTCAGCCTACAGCAGCTCTGATTGTGCCATCAGTCCTTTAATAAAAATCAAACAGACACCCAAATTAATAAATGTTTCTATTTGATTTGGAATGTTAAAACATACTTACCTGATCTTTTCTGGCCTTTTTTTTTTTTTTAGGATAGGAGAGACAGACAGGAAAATGGGGGAGAGAGGGAGATTGGGATCGGGAAATGACTCAGGCCGGATTCGAACCTGAGTCCCTGTCAGCCAAGAGCTCCCATATGATCAGTCCTGTAATAAAGAATAAACAGACACCACAATTATTATTATTTTTTATTTAATTGGAACGCTAAAATTATACTTACCTGATCACCTATCACACCTGTTTACCTTTTTTGGACTTTTTTTTTTTTTTTGGATAGGATTTGTGTTTTAACAGTTACATCAGATCACCACCCACCTGTTTTCCTTTTTTGGGACTTTTTTTTTTTTTTTGGATAGGATTTGTGTTTTAACAGTTACATCAGATCACCACCAGAGGTCATAATCGCACTACTTTGGCCTGTGAAATCATCATCATCTTTTGGGCTTACTGCTTTGTTCAACTAACACATAGTCATTCACGTAATCGTTTCACTGTATTTTCGCTACTGTTCACGGGTTAAGTACTGAAGATTAAAAACCCAGAAAGATCTGACCAACTTAACTTACACTTATAAACGGGTTAAATTGGGATTTGATATGTGGGGGGGCTCTATGGTTTGGGGCATATATATATATATATATATATATATATATACACAAGTGAAGTTGAGTGACTGTATAATTCTCCCACCGACAATATTTGTAATACTAACCCATGTGGTTATGGCCTTGCACTTAAAAAGCAAGTGAGATACTTTTAAATACTAAAATAATGACCGAAAACAAGAAACATATATGAAAAATGCCAAATGTATTTAATAAAAATATGTTCTGGTTCATAAATTAAAAGTCTTTAAGATTTTGGAAGCTCTTCCACAGAAACATAGAAAATAGTTAAAATGAAGAGAACATTGATAGCATATCAAATGATAAATTATTTTACATTTAGATAATAGATTACATATTATAGAAGACATTTACAGTATATTAAAACAATGTGATATAATAAAAAAAATCCTTCATTTATACAGTATATTTTTTGTTTCAGCGGCAACATAGTTTTACAGATCAGCTAAGTTACAATATATATTATATATATATATATATATATATATATATATATATATATATATATATAGTCATACTATCAGTGCTATGTGAAAAAAAAAGCAAGTAAAAAGCAAGAACATGAGGTGCAAATCTTAGCAAAAACCTTCAGGGGGTTTTAGTGTAAGTGCTTGTTGCTACATGTGTAACCTGATTTGTCACAAAGAGAAGAAAGAATCGAGGTCTGCAATGACAGCTGCTTGCTTCCTAGACACAGTATTCAGCAGTCTAGGAGCCAAGGGCGGGCTTCCCAAATCCACCTATAGGGGGAGACACAAGAAACGAGGAGGAAAACTTATAACTGATTATTTACCATCTCAGGGAACTTAAAAGTCTTTAAGATTTTGGAAGCTCTTCCACAGAAACATAGAAAATAGTTAAAATGAAGAGAACATTGATAGCATATCAAATGATAAATTATTTTACATTTAGATAATAGATTACATATTATAGAAGACATTTACAGTATATTAAAACAATGTGATATAATAAAAAAAATCCTTCATTTATACAGTATATTTTTTGTTTCAGCGGCAACATAGTTTTACAGATCAGCTAAGTTACAAGAGAGCAAAGGCTCTCTTGATCACTATGTTAAAATGTAATGGCTTTAAAGCAAATCCAGATTTGTGTATAATCTATACAGCTGAAGCCACTGTAGAAAGCATAACAGTTCATGTTAAAAATGATTAACTTTTGTTTGCATTTCATTACACAGGGAAAATTTAAAGAACATTTTGCATGCACATTTTACAAAAATAAAAATTACAATACTGAAAGTATCAACATCAATAGCACTGCAGTCAATAACAGTTTTATGACAGTCTATCCCATTTCAGCCAATATAGAACTTGTCAAATTGTGTAAGCAGTTACAAAGAAATCACCCAAAAATGAAAACGGCTGAAAAATTATACTACCAACAAACAACACATAAAACAGAAAGGGACTGGACATGTTTATGAAAGGCACTGTACTGCATATTACAGAATAAAGTTAAAGTCTCTACAGCTGATGTCAAGTTCAAGTTTTACATACTAGTTATTTCTGAAAGTAGCTTAAGACAATGCTATGCATTCAAAGAATACTGTAATACAGTTGATTGTTTTGATCTGAATATCCATCCTTACAAATAACAGAGCTATGCATAGTTTACTCTATGTCAAATGATAATCAAGTAATAACTATATACATACATCAAGAAATAGCTTTGGGATTTTACTTAGATTAATCAAAGTATTATAATCTTTTTACAATAATCAATGCTTTGGCACATGGGGGCAAAATTATTCAATAACATAGTAAGACGAGATAAAATAAGGCAAGATAATGTGTTACACAATATATACGTGTAAATATCGGATCAGCTTTCCAGCGCTGGAGAGAACTCAAGGAGCGGAGGCCTGCGATCGGACGCCGAGGTTGCTTTGTTTCTTCTCAATAGGTGAGTAACACCGTGTCTACAACAGCTAAAGTCTGCCTACACTGGACGCGATCAAACGACCGTTGAAAACCATTTGAAATTTGTGTCGGCAGCAGTTTTCTGTCGGGATTTGTTGCGCCGCGCCGCTCAGGTCCATAGACACGGTGTAACATTGGTTTTGCTTTGTTTCACAGAACTAATCGTTGCCTGGGTTGCGTACGTATATGTGGGGCGGAGCTATCAAAATAGGGGCAAGACCCTTTTGGGGTAGGGGCGTGTTTGTTTTGGTGATTTCAAATATCAACATTGGCTACCAGAAATCACTTACTCTGCCTTTAAGCAAGCATAACGCTAATGCAAATGCTAATTCATTAAACTGATACACGATGAGGGAAAGGATACAAGGGTAAAGCATCTTACTTGTAACAAATAGATGACAGTGACAACCTGTCGACTGTTACGTTGGCTGGGTTGAAGGATCCACGCGCTGGGTAGAATCTCACCACGAATAGTATCCACACTGGGACGTGGCAGTGTCTCCTCAAATACAGACTGCATGGCCAGCACCCACATATCCTACAGAAAAGATGAATATGTGGTTAAGGTAAAGTACTTTTGGATAAAGCTAATCACAGAATAGCGAACACAGAACACCTGTTTAGATTCTGTACTGAGGCAGCAGAAGTCCCGCGGCTGTTTAAGCTGGCAGTTGGATACGTCCGTCAAAAGATAGACTGATTGGAGAGAAAGACAAGACAAAGCAATATAATCAGTAAAGATAAATTTTGCTTTTGCCTGCACTTGAAGGAAAGTTATAATCATTACCTCTCTTACCTATTGAGCCTGCTATTCACTGTACAATTTTCAAATCCTTTAAGATAATGAAATGACAGATTTTACAATGTGATCTCAAAAAGAGAGACAAGGCAGACTGCGACATGTACAGCGTCGTGCTACTCTCGTGAACGCTCGTCGACTGACACGGAAGAGAGAGGAAATTGTTGAATAAAGTCATTATTTTTGTTTTCTTTGCACAAAAATAGTATTCTCGTAGCTTCATAAAATTAAGGTTGAACCACTGATGTCACATGGACTTTTAACAATGCCCTTACTACTTTTCTGGGCCTTGAACTTGGTAGTTGCATTACTGTCTATGCAGGGTCAGATTTCATCGAAAATATCTTAATTTGTGTTCCGAAGATGAACGGGTCTTACGGGTTTAGAACGACGTGAGGGCGAGTAATTAATGATAGAATTTTCATTTTTGGGTGAACTATCCCTTTAAAGGTGGCAGTCCAAAAGAGTGAATCTAATCACCATACAGGTAAAAGTTCACTTCAAGATTGAACAAAGTGGCTTCGATGAGTTTGAAATTTGGTGTCTGAAAAAAAAAAACTGTGCTCTTTAGAAATCAGTGTGTTCGAAATTCATCAGTGCTACTGCACAGTTTCTGCAGGATTTAAGATGGTAAATGTAAGACTTTTTAGAATCTTTTTAAAGACCAACTAAAGAATGTATATAAGAAACAGATTGAATGGAGCTCAATGTTTTAATGTGGTCTCTTAATGTAAATGCCTTGTATTGGCAATGCTTCAAAGTATCTGCCAATGGGTTTTTCAACCCATTTTTCAGACAAGTTTTCATTCCCCACTGACAGATATTTGTTCTTGTTTTAAGCATAAACTTAATTTTGTTTAATTTCTCAGAAAACAAGTAAATGTATCTTGATTTAAGGATGTTTAGAAATTTGTATTGAGAAACAAAAAATAACTGATGATTTACATTTTTTGCAGCGTGTGCATTAATTTAATGCCATGACTGTATGAATTTAAAATGTTCTGCTCTGATTTAAGATCTTTTTAGGCCTTAATTTGTGGAATGGCCAAGTAAGACTTGCACTGAAGAACCAGTACAGAGTTTTTTGCATGCAAGCCTTAAGAATGGTCACATTGTATGAGTACGACCCTAATTTTCTGATTCATAGCAAAGACCATTAATTTGTCGGCGGTGAACGTCACACTAGACGATCAAAGACTCACAATTTTACACTAAAGCCTTGTGCACACCGGGACGATTATCGCGCGCGTTTATCACCAGCGTTTTTCGAGACGTTTTTCGACGCGTCTGCCCTGGACTGAAAGCCATCTACGCTGAGCTTTTGAAGTCTGCAACGGGATCACTGGAGGTCGAGTCCTTACTTTGAATTCTGAGACTCCGTTTACCTGAGGAATGAGGTGAAGAGCTTGAAAAATAGCATTTTAAATAAAAAAAAAAACATGGAAGCATGTTAAACTTTTTAGTGTGGTTTCTTACCTGTATTAATGGTGAGGTAATGTCTTTCAGTAAGGCAGTATTGCTGCTGTTGTACCCTGAAGTGGGGCTTGAGGAAAGACTCAGGTTCGAACCACTACATAAAGTACTGTTACTAATGCGTGTGCGAAACCGCAGGTCATCCTACATAAGACACAGGGGGAAAAAAGGAATTATGAAACTATTTTAAAACAGCAAAGTGCAGCAATACTTGATCATTCTTGATTCTTATGAATAATATTTAAAAATGATCAAGTGTCTCTGACCTTCACTGCCTGTGAGAGAGCTTGCTGCTGTAGTCGTCTCTTCTCCTGTTCGGTCCTCTCACGGAGTCGGTCTCGTGCACGTGCAATCTCTGCTCTTGCCTCCTCACGGGCTCGACTGTAGTCACGCAATAGATGCTCAATGTCAGATGGACATTGACCCTCGCCAATTAAGACTTGCAGAAACCACGTACTGATTATTCAGTGCATGCGAGCCTTAGGTGCGGTCACATTGTAGCATCACAAAGACCATTAATTGCCCATCAGTGAACATGTGACACTAGATGATCTAAGACTCACGATTTTACCCTAAGACAAAAGAAATCCCTTACAATCCCAGAAATTTGTCAAAATCATATATTGTGCACTGAGCTTTACCTAGTTGTGTGCTTTTGTCAAGTGGTCGTGTCCAGGCAGATTTAATAGACTCGTGGTACAGGTGAGTCTTTGAGTGATCTCGAACTATAGACCACAGACTGGCCAAAGGTCTCTCCAGCTCAACTGCTCCAAGAAACCCATGAGCTGAGGGTCTGGAAGTAGCCTTGTGAAAGACCTGAACGCCTCTCTCCACACCTTGATGCCTGGTGAGAAATGGAATATGAGGACTTAATACATCTAAGATGTTTACACATGCACAATATGCATATTAGCGTACCTCCAGCCAGCAGCTGCCTTCCCAGCCAGCAGATTCCTCACATCACCACCAGACGCCAAATATACCTAAAACAGACAAGCAAGTCCATGAAGCATTTCACATTGACATGCTCTTGCATATTTTGAAACATGAGTTGCAGTAGCATACTTCTGAAATAGCACTGGCAAGAGTGCAGTCTGCGATATCCAGATATGAAGTTGATATCGACGAAGGAGAGCCAAAGGAGAGGGTGCGTTGTCGAGCACAGGGAGAAGATGATGGAGTGGAGGAGGACTCAGGCTCATATCCAGTGGTAGATGTCTCCAGGCTGACATCTATAGAAAATAGGGGATCTGATTAATTAAGTGGATTCGAAGCATAGCCCTTGGGTTTGCAATTGTTTATGGGTTATTGCTCACCCTGGACTGACAGCCATCTACGCTGGGCTTTTGAAGTCTGCAACGGGATCACTGGAGGTCGAGTCCTTACTTTGAATTCTGAGACTCCGTTTACCTGAGGAATGAGGCGAAGAGCTTGAAAAATAGCATTTTAAAAAAAAAAAAAAAAACATGGAAGCATGTTAAACTTTTTAGTGTGGTTCCTTACCTGTATTAATGGTGAGGTAATGTCTTTCAGTAAGGCAGTATTGCTGCTGTTGTACCCTGAAGTGGGGCTTGAGGAAAGACTCAGGTTCGAACCACTACATAAAGTACTGTTACTAATGCGTGTGCGAAACCGCAGGTCATCCTACATAAGACACGGGGAAAAAAGGAATTATGAAACTATTTTAAAACAGCAAAGTGCAGCAATACTTGATCATTCTTGATTCTTATGAATAATATTTAAAAATGATCAAGTGTCTCTGACCTTCACTGCCTGTGAGAGAGCTTGCTGCTGTAGTCGACTCTTCTCCTGTTCGGTCCTCTCACGGAGTCGGTCTCGTGCACGTGCAATCTCTGCTCTTGCCTCCTCGCGGGCTCGACTGTAGTCACGCAATAGATGCTCAATGTCAGATGGACATTGACCCTCCCTTCTTGGTGGATCAGGAACTCTGGGGGAGAACATCTGATATAGTAAACAGAATTACAGAATATAACCAAGTTTAACTTCTGTAACATTTAGTGCAGTTCCAAATCACCTGCTGGTTTCAACAATCTCTTGTCTGAGCTGCTGCAGATATTCCCTGCGTCTGCTTGGCAGTTCTGAAACTTTTTGAGATTGCTCCTCATAATTTATAGGGATCCGATGCTTACTGGGACTGAGGCTCCGAGCCCGACGACACATCTGGAGACGGGCTTCTCTGTCTTTTCTCAAACTTTCAATGCTCTTCCTATGCCTAATGACAAAATAGAATTCTATTTATAAGAACCTCTGAAAAGTAGGGGTGCTTTCACACTTGGTCCGATTGCTTGGTTTGAACCACTTTTGGATTGCCTCCAATGAACCAAATTCTAATGACAAACAAACCTGGGTACACACCAAAAGTGCTAGTGTGAAAGCACCCTAAATGTATTTCCAAAGAAAAAAAAATATTTTGTAATACTTCAATTCATATGTAATCACAGATTATACAGACCTGTTAAGGAGCTCCTGTTTGTTACAGGCTGAAGATGCCTTTTTAGAACCAGACTTGAGAATTTTAAGCAGAGTGTCTGTTTCCCCTTGGCCATAGTGCAGCTTGGCCTCTGTGAGTTCAACGGTCAGCTGATGAGGGCTCAGATCCATATGTACAGAGGCTAAAACCCGCTCGCGTTCTTTCCTCAGCTTCTCAATTTCATGTGCTCTCCTGCCCGTTTTCCATGATGGCTCTTGCCAGTAACTGGGGCTGAGCTTTGTGAAGTGCTGTCCAGTTGGTCTGTGTATTTTAAGTGTTGATGGTGGCTGCTGATTGATGCCAGACCAGTTAGTAAATTTGTTGTGCATGGGCAGATCATCAGGGATCCACTGATGTTCTTTGAGCGTGCTGGTTTCTGCCAGAGGATTGATGCTGACCAGAACATCTGTGTTGCACTCGCTTGGCACCAGAGACATCACGTCATCTTCCTGCTGTTGCACAATACTTTGATTTGAATGATCCCAACTTTTTATTATATTCTCAGTTGATCTGTGACTCAACTGACTGTTCACGGTTGACAAATGAGGTCTTTCTAGGTTTTCCATTTTAGACTGTCTGACGTTATCGGAGGATGATGCAAGTTGGACAGCAATGGTACTGCTTGGAAGGGAGAGGGACATTTTTTGTGGCTGAGATGGGGAACGGTTAATAGTGGGTTTACTTATTACCCAGTCTTCAACTTCATGCGAGTATTCATTTCTCTCTTTGTTCATGCGTTTGGTGCAGGGACAGATGCTGTTTGAGCAGTCATCAGATCCACCCAGATTTGGACAAAGGTCACTCAGGTTTTCAAAGGTCACAGATGACACTGATGTTGATGCTGTTCTTGCATTTTTACTGTGAAGTACCTTATTTTCATGGTTGGACATTTTATGACCTTTCAATGGCATGTTGTATACATTTGAATACCGTTTCTCTTGTCCCTCGGTTTTGTGGTTTGTTAAACTCTGGGTAGTTTTTACTTGTCTTCCTTGGGTGTATCTTGCAGCCTTCACAGTAAGGATAGGGGAGCAGGCACGATCCATGAGCATAATTTGTTTATTAAAGCAATTCCTTAGGTCTACATTTCTGTGATAATTCTGCTTCTCCTCTTGTTTCATATGCGAGCGTTTTGCTCCAAGGTGGCTAGACGAAGACTTCTCTTTGAAGTAGTCTACTGTGCTACCTTCAAATGCTTTCATAGAGGGGGAATCCTGATTTGGCACAACGGTCTCTAATGAAAGAACCTTCTGGGAGGGAATCAGAAAATTCTGACACTCAGTTACATTTGAACCTTTGGGACGTAAATCAGGCAGGCTTTTAATCCTTTCAAAGGCCTGTTCACTTTCACATTTATTCTTCAAGATCTTGGCATCACCATCTAATTGGGACACATTGCAAGTATCTGAGCCAATCACTTTAACAATAACATTTACTTCATGGGCCATAGCGTTCTTTGACACTGGAGCATCCTCTGTCTGGATCCCAATGTCCAAGGACGTTTGTGTAGAACAGTCTTTCTTGAAGTTACTGCAAGAATGCACAGTTGAAACCTGAAAACAGTGTTCAGGATGGTCATATTTTGGTGGCTTTTCCCCAGTTCGCATACCCTGTATGTTCCCCAGAAGATCAGAGGTGTTGACTATTAGGTCAGAGAGATGTTCAGACATGCTTTGTAGACTTGCCCATGTGGTTAGGGCACCATTCCCTGGTTTGGACACTGGTGTCTGTGTGCTGCTTCTTCTGTGACGGCTCTTTCGTTTAAGGTCCTTATTAACCTCAATGGTTTGTGTGCCATGATCACACCTGCTTGGACTCGGATGTTCCTGAGATTCATACTCAGAGGAGTAGACCAGCACTATTTCATCAACTTGACCTGAACTGTGGCGTAACTCCGCTGAGGCACAATTGTAAGAGTCACATTTCAAAACTGTTAGGGTCTGCTTTTTTGAACCACTAGAGGAATGAGAAGCTGCCTTCAGCAGAGGTTCAGAAGAAATTTGATATTTAGAATATTCATTACTACTCAGTGTGCTAGAAAGGCCTTTATGATTTACATAAGCGCTCAAATGGGAGCAGAAAGGGGAGTCCTGAATATTTAGGCCATTGTCTACACTGCAGCACCTTGTCATATTCTTGTTGGAACAATTGAGTGAAGAGTGTTTGCAGGATATATTGGCAGCACTTCCAAAGGCCTGCTTTTTGTGGATTGCTGTGTTAACCCCCATAGTAGTTTTTGAATGAATAAATGGGTTAATATCACTTGAGGCAAAATGCATTGCAGAATCTCTTGTCTGTGGGACAGTATCCTCAAATGGCTGAGCATGGTCTTCCACACAAGCTAAAATATCTTCGGAAGAAGCATTCTTCCTTAAACAAATGTCTTTATTACCATTTGGTTCAATCATCTCTATCTTTTGAATTTCTTCTTTAGAACCATGATCTTGCTGACATGCAATTGTCTCAGCTTCTACTACTCAGTGTGCTAGAAAGGCCTTTATGATTTACATAAGCGCTCAAATGGGAGCAGAAAGGGGAGTCCTGAATATTTAGGTGTCTGTCTACACTGCAGCACCTTGTCATATTCTTGTTGGAACAATTGAGTGAAGAGTGTTTGCAGGATATATTGGCAGCACTTCCAAAGGCCTGCTTTTTGTGGATTGCTGTGTTAACCCCCATAGTAGTTTTTGAATAAATAAATGGGTTAATATCACTTGAGGCAAAATGCATTGCAGAATCTCTTGTCTGTGGGACAGTATCCTCGAATGGCTGAGCATGGTCTTCCACACAAGCTAAAATATCTTCGGAAGAAGCATTCTTCCTTAAACAAATGTCTTTATTACCATTTGGTTCAATCATCTCTATCTTTTGAATTTCTTCTTTAGAACCATGATCT